GCGTTGCGTGACAACCGACACTAAAAACGGATGCGAGGGAGACTACGGTATCTTTTAATATCTTTTTTCCTCTAAGCATACACTTGTGATTCCGAATGAAGTGCATTTTGATACAAGTTCGGTATCATTTATCTGTCATTTATCTGCCGTATATTCTTCTCCTCTTCGCTATTTATAGACTACTTGGGAATTTTCAAAACATGGTTTCCATATAGCTATAAACGTTAAATTTTGAAAAAGGTTTTCTTTTGTTGTTGTTTTTTCTTTCTTTTTGTAGCTTTTTGTTTAAAAGACTCCTCCGTGCCAGAGGATTTAAAGGAATTTTAAAGGTTTTTTTCCACCTTCCTTTATGCTTTAAAAGTTTTCTTGTTTTTGTTTTTGTTTTTTTATTTTTTTATATTGTGTCCTTTTTGGTGTACCGCTTTTGAAATATAGAATCGATTTAAGTACAACAGAAAAAAATCACACTATAAAAACACTTTAATCTACAAGGAAACACTGATTCTCAGTTATTCCGCCTTGTCTCAGCATACCCTCCTCCGCTATCAAGTGTGGGACTCTTGGTAACCACTAGAACACGACCGACATGGGAAGCTTTTCCCGCCGTATCGATAACTGTAATAACAATTCTCAATGGTTTCCAAGAGTGTTATAGAATAGCACATTAGTATGAATCATCTCTCAGCGGCTAGAATTCCGTTCTCCTGAGTTTTTTTTTTTTTTCAACTTTCCGAGTTCCTCAGCGGAAGCCTTACCACTTTGCAGTCGATAGCGTATTCTTGTACCTTCTTGACTCGTCATCAAACCTTAGTTTCAATAACAGGAAATCTAAATTTCGTTAGAAATTTATCTTTTCATTGTCCGACATTTTAAATCTCGAGGAAGCTGTTCGCAACCAAAGATGGCCCCGCAAACTTTAAGGTTCCTTACAATCTAGACCGCTGACATGAAGAAACACGGGCACAGGGGAAAAGACTGCTGACCCAAAGTAATGCAGTCTCTAGCGGAATCTATTGAATATAGTTATAGTGTAAGTGATCAAGAGTATATTTTTCATGTATAGAATTCGAAGCTTTGTACCATCACGTGATGGCAGCCATGAGAGGCACGACAAAAAGTCTTTTCCCCAGGGAAACTGAATCCTTTCTCATGTAAAGCAGATTAGACGGGATTCAATTGTTCCTACATCCTGTTATGTCATGGCTGCCATCACGTGATGGCCCAAAAGCCTCCATTCAAGTATTGCGCAATTACGAACATCCAGGTAGTCGAAATATACTACAATCCAGAGATATTCCTGGTCAACCGTTCGATCTTCAAATAGTCAACCTCTGACCAGGATCATCTCTGGCTCAAGCAGACCATGAACTTGAACTTTATCGGTAAACGCATTTCATTCAAAAGTATTGACTTCCCGTCCACCTTGACCTTGGCGAGTTTCTGCTTCAGTTTCCACAGGCAACCCAAGATCTGTTTTCCACAATGACACTGAACAACTTTCAAAAAAAAAGTACGATGCTTTTTTTTTTGTTTGTTTGTATGTTGTTGTTGTTATTGTTGTTGTTGTTGTTTAATTTAATTTAATTTTGTTTGTTTGTTTTTGTTTTTTAAGCTTTTAAATTTTAAAATCAAAAAGCTAAGCTCGGGAACCCTGTGCTTTTACTTTGTACCTAGACTGAAGCTATCTAGATATTTATCTTTATACTGTTTGGTCTATCAGCTGCTGAAGACATTTTATGGATCGTATCATCAGATTTAAACGACTAGAAAAGCAAGATAAATTTATGATGAACTTATGAACTAATACGTATTCTAAAATATAATAGCGACCTTTTTCAAATTCATGAAATTTCGCTGTTTTTCTGGGTTTTTTTTTTTTTTTTGTTTTT